TTAAGTTACATCTAATACAATTGTCTAGAAAATGTGACCGATTTAAGGTTACAGCTTATACAATTATCTATTAAAAGTTGTCGAATTTATTATAAAATATAGTCAAATTACAATAAAGAAAGTGGTCGATTTAGGGTGACATTTTATACAATTATATTTTACTTGTGGTTGAATTTATTGAAAAAAATAATAAAATTAACAATTAAGAAGTGAACGAATAAAGGTAACATTTTATATACAATTACCTATAAAAAAATGTTCAAATTTAAAGTAAAATTATCAATTCAAAAAGTTTCAGAGTTAAGGTTACATCTTATAAAACTATCTAGAAAAAGTGACCAATTTAATGTCACACCTAATACAATTATCCATAAGAAGTATTTGAAAAAAGTAAAATTACAAAAATACTGAACTCAGATGAAAATTCAAAAATGAAAGTCCCTAATCAAATTGCAAAATCAAAAGCTCAAACACATCAAACGAATGGATGACAACTGTAATATTCCTGACTTTGTACAGGCATTTTCCTATGTAGAAAATGGTGCATTAGACCTGGTTTTGAAGCTAGCTAAATGTCTCACTTGTATGACAGTCGCATCAAATTCCATTATATTGACAACGATGTGTAAATAAAACAGACATAATAGGTAAAAATGTCAAAAATAGGTGTAAAACAGTCAATATTGTGTTATTATCTTAATCACTATAAAAACAAACAAATATGTAACAAAGAAGCACAAAAAGGCATATAGACAAAGCATATTAGCAAAAATGAAAGACAAGAATACAAAAATGTTTTACAATAGCACAATAACGGGATGTATAAGTACAGAGCCACGTCATATGTATCAAAGAAACACAAAAAGGCATATAGACAAAGCACATTAGCAAAAATGAATGACAAGAATACGAGAATTTTCATAGAACAATAACACAATGACGGGATGTATGAGTACAAGTCACGTCAAATGGATATCAATAAAAATAGACTAAACACTAAATGTAATATTCATAAAGACAAATAAAAGAATACTATAACACTTTAATAAGATGATAAACAACGTCAGTACCCAAAATCTATACCTCAAGACCATCGTGTTATATTTGTGAAGTTGATACGGAATATTTATCAACAAGGTCTTGATACCTTCCGATGAACTTTTTTTTTGAGAAATGACAAGACGTTCCTTGACATACCCCTGGTTCATCAACTTTCTGCTCAGACACGAATTGATTGTAAAATAATTAATGAAGAAAATGGATGATTTCAGGTTACATGTAATACAATTATTAAGAATAAGTGACTGATTAAACGTTACATCGAATACAATTATCTACAAAAAGTTGTCGAATTTATTATAAAATATAGTCAAATAATCAATAAAGAAAGTGGTCGATTTAAGGTGACATCTCATAAAATTATTAAGAAAAAGTGACCGATTTAAGGTTACATATGTAGGACTCTAAAGTGCGATGGTACTCTAAAGTACGATGGTCACGCTAAAGTGCGATGGTCTACGCTAAAGTACGATGGTGTCTGACGCTAAAGTACGATGGTTGTTTGTTTGCTAAGATACGATGCTATATTGCGCTAAAATGCGATGGGCCAATATGATAAGGTTCGGGGGCTTAAAACGTTAAAGTACATGGATGTTAAAAAATAGTCTTTTTGCAAAAGCTAGTAAGCTAAGGTATAACATATCTGATAGATTTTATAATTTACCGGTAGGCTTAAGTGGTTGTTTCTAAATCTAGAAGACCGAACACGTAAAAATTGCTAAAACGGTAATATAGGTGTCACAAAATACTATATTTCCTGTATATGTAACAATTGGGGGCGTATTAAATATTTGGATAATTGGCGTAGCTTGCCGTTCACACAGTCTATCAATAATGTGAACACCTCCCCTTACAGTCGTCATTGTAAATTACAAATACAAAATTCGTTCAATGTCGGAATAAGTAACATTTATTAGTACAAGCTTTGATATCAATGCGAGAAAAAGGTGATGTTCGCCGAGCTTTTTTCTCCTATTTCGTAGCGAGTACCAATACATGTTATATTTCCTACAATGTACAAACTAATGTTTTAGCCGAAAATTTATAATTTACTTTTGAAAACATGTACCTTTATTTTACCGACGTTACTTTTCAATAAGATCGAAAATATTTTAACGGGGACTGCAAAGTGAGATTCAACGTAAACAATGATTTAAATGTATTCGTTCGCTTCCAATGGAAGCAGGATCCCAGCAGGCACACATCATTGATTAAACATTGAATCAATGTTTATTTTCTATGTTGAATCAATGTTGATTTATTATTAGATTTTGCAAATTTGTATCAACGTTGAAATGCTATGTTGAATCAACGTTGATGTTCAACTTTGAATCAATAATGAATAATGGTTGTTTCAACATTGTTTCAACCAACTACTAAATTTGAATTCAGGGTGAATACCATATTTTATAAAACAATCAACATTGATTAAAGATTGTTTCAACTAATAACTGGTTGATTTCAGATTGATAAAAAGTTTTTAAAAGTTCTGTGTGATATTCAACACTGAATCAACATTGGTTAGTGGTTGTGTTCTACTTTGTTTCAACCTAGGATTTAGGTTTAGTTCATCCTGTTTTTTCTGCATGTTGCATTCCATAATATTAAAGTGTAGCAACTTTAATGATTTCATATGAAATATCAGACATTCGAGATGCATAAATACATATTAAAGCTAAGTGTCTTCTCAAAGCCAATAAATCTCATAGCAGTATTCTGCTGCAGGAAACATTCTCCAATAACTGCTCCATCAGACCAAAGTATAAAAGATGGATTGCTGAATTCAACAAACATTAGTCTTCAGGAAATTGAGACACTCTTGCTATTGTATACAAGTACTCAAAATCAAATTCTGACAATAAACCATAAAATCTCAAATCATATTGAATGATCATATTTGACATAATATGGGCTTTTGCTCATTGTTACAAGACTGTATGGTGCACAAAAATTCAAATAGATGTCATTGATTGACTGTCAAGTTACTCGTAGAAGATCAGTAATTTTCAACAATAAAACTAAACACATTCAAGTGTAGAGAGAATATGGCTTGACCGCCAACAACCAGTCAACCCAATAAAAATATGAGTGTTTAGGGTTTAAGAGCCATAATTGTTTGTACCAAGCCGTAGATTTTATCCACATTAGACAATAAAAAAACACAAATTACTTGCCCAGAGAAATATTGAAAAAAACAGCAAAATAAAAAACATATTCCTATACTGACCTATCCTAGTTCTTAACCCACATCCAGGGATACACATATATTTTGCCTATATATAATGTCTTTTTTGAATAAGTCATGAAAATATATGAAACAAAGTTTGCTGTTCCTTACCCATGTATTCTAATGTCCAATCACTGATTATAGAGAAATATTCAATACAAACAAATTTAAAATAAATTAATTTATCAATACAACTATAAAAAAGACAACATCCTGGATTACTCACAATAATTGATTTGACATCATTAAAATGAAAGTGAACGTAAAAGTAAAAATTGTCAGTTTCTTTTCCAAAATGGACACCTCATTAGACATTCTGTTTTAACTGGCTTCACTCTGAATGAGGTACTAGACTTCCAATTGCATCAATTATTTATTTGTATCTAAAAATTCTACTTCTTTCTCCCCCCACCGCCCCGTCTATCTGGAGCCCATTTTAAATAGTTTGCTGCTTTGTCAGAAACTTCTTGTTCTGTTACTCCATGAGTCTTCATGATGACATCTACAAAATCAAAAGTTATAACATTGTCAAGTTAAATCTGTTCAACACATTTAACTATTATTATAACTTCATAAATATGATAAAAGTATATAAATCATAAGCATCAGAACTGGTGAAAACTGTCATCAAAGTCAACTATATTTCTTTTCATATAGAGCAGAAGGAATAAACCTCAAGACAATCCTACATACTGCATTATAATTTGAACAAATTGAAGACTTATCCACATGTTTTTTTTCTGTATTTCTTGTGCTGTTGCATTGATATCAGTCTAATTGACATATGCCTTCATCTTTGATTTCCATGTCAAAACACTACATTAACCTTTGAAGGCCATTCAAATTAAATGTTTTCTCATGCTCTTTTATTTCTATTTAAAATTAGGGCTGTTCCAAAAATAAATGTATGGGGGGGGGGGGGGGGGGGGGGGAAGGCAGATTTTATTTGGCCCCACCATGCATACATTATAAATTGGATATTTCATTTAAATGTTCAAGCAATCTTTCTTAAATAACCACCGCCCATAAAATTATAAAAGTGCCTTCCTCTCCCCCCCCCCTCCCCAATACAATTAATTCTGGAAAAGCCCTTAGTTCTGTTGGGCAATTTTTATTTTATTATATAGGAAAAATGAAAATTCTAATTGTTTGTGTCATTTGCTATAATCAAAATTAACAAGTGAAAGTGTGAGCTACTGCTTACTGATGATACCTCCACCCAAATATTTCGGTAAACAGGAAGCTGTTGAGTGATGAATCTGAAAAGGCATCACACAGTATAGCTGATATAATTAAAAAATGATGAAGCACTTTTTGAGGCTTCAATCAATAAATTACAAGATTCATCCAACCGGTTTCAAAAACCTGGGCAATTGATTTGCCCTGCTTGGTAATTATTACCTTAAAATACATAAAAAAGCACAAAATTAGATAAAAATAAAAAACATGGTGGAAAAAAAAAGAGAATGAGAAATTAATTTATTGTGGCAAGAGTTGCTGGCGCTAGTGATTGAAAAACAGACATTTTTTCTATGGTATAAATCATAAACATATGATAATTTTACTGATAAATAGATATATAAAAGAGAGTTTCTGAATCATTGACATTCACCCCACATGCATTTTTTTTTTGGCAAATTTTCATACTAAACAAAATATATATAAATACCTTTCAGTAATTTAAAAACATTGGACTTCCCAAATGAAATTTTTCCATTTTCCCTGACATATTCATCTTGGCCATTAATTTATTTGTCATCAATCTGCAAATAATCAATAATGGAAAAGTAAGTTGAAATATACATGTAGGGCTATATTAAATGGACATGCATGGTGAAACTCCTTTTTTGTTTTGTCACTTAAGTATACATCTGTATTGACTATTAATAAAGAAGGATATACACATATATGGATTTGCAAGTACAAGAGACAATTATCCCCAAAAATACTAGGTAATAACCATAAATCAACAAAGTTAACACAAATAAAATATAAAATTTATTGAAAAGCAATATTCCCAATCCTGTCAATTATTTCATTGACTGACCCTTTATCAACTGAAACACTTTCAATTTGTGCTTCGCCAACCTGATACAACATACAAAACACCTTATATTTAAAACTTATAAGCTAATGATATTTTTGCTGTAAAACAGCATAAATTGATGTCTTATGTAGATAAAACATGCTTCAAGTCGGATATCTTAGGTTCTTTATATTGTAAAATCACCTTTCCATGGATTTCTTTATGTGATCTCCATAATCACTTCCCCCAATTTTTGCAACTGTGGCTCGCTATAACAAATTGAAAATATAATCATGATTTATCAATAAAGGCTTAACATGAATATACAAATCTTGTTTGTTCCTGGTAGACAAAATGTCAGCATAATACTTAGTCATGTCAATTATAAATAACTTTAAATGAATTATCTTAGTTGAAATTTGGTAACTTGTCATTCAATCAATACATTAAATCTGTTGTTATCAACATATATATAACACAAATAGATTTGTTTGTCATTCTTGAAATCTCTTTTTTTTTCCCTATCTTGTTATGTCCTTTCTGCAGCAAACATGTAATCTAACAAAATTTGAGATATAAAAGTAAAGAACTATCTTCTATATTTCGACCTTGTGCTTGTAATGTTTTGTTTCATTTCAATAATATCCATTACAGGTCCTCTTATTTTTTGAAATATTGTTCTTAACTGTTTGATAATAAACTTTTATAATCATTCATTTGCAACAATGTAGGAAATGGGATCAGTGTAATCTGAATAGTTCAATATGATCTACTTACAGAAAGATCAAACTCTCTCTTGTCATTGAGAGACAGATCAAAGCTTTGAAAATCCTCTAGATTTTCCTGTTATTCTAGTTGCAGTGTTGGTTCATTATAGGCAAGGCTGGTCACTGGATAGTTCATCATTTTTTTTAGCATATCCCTGATCTCCACCAACAGGTACATTGATCTTCTTTGATATCCTGAAAAATAAATTAATTTAATTTAGGATAAATGCTACAAAAATTATAAATTTTAATTCCCACTACAAAAAACCAAGTCAAAGGACCATATATAACTCTGCACAAAATCATCAGACTGGAACAAAATTTGAACTCTATTTGTAACTTGTCCTGATAAAACGATATACCAAATATCAAATCAATATCTTTGTTGGTAGGAGACTAATGAAAATAATGCCTTTCCATATTTTCAAAAATAAATCAGGCTGATATTTTTAATAAATTTATCAACAGCAATAGTATAATAAACTTACTTTCTTCTTGCATGGGAAATACTGGGGTTCTATGATTTTCCCCTCGTCTTGTGCTAGGTGTTCTATATCTTCCAGATGATCTGGATCTGTGTCTCCTCGACGATCTATTTCGTCTAGATCCCTCTCTAGATTTTGATCTAGACGACATAGCTCTAGATTTGTGTCTACGGTCACTTCTCCTACCACCTGAGGAGCTACATTAACTTCTAGATCTATCCCTATAGTTCCTCCCATTTGACCTTGACAGTTTCCTCCTATTTGACCTTGACCGTTGCCTCCTATTTGACCTTGACCGTTGCCTGCTATTTATTCTTATACTAGATCTTGAACTCGACCTTAAAAGACCTCTATACAGGCTAGATGGTGTGGGAGAACAAGGAGGTCGAGATGGAGACACATACCTCAGTTGCGGAGACTGTGTTGCTCTTTTTTTACTGAAGTTTGACGAAACATCAGAGGTTTTTCTGGTACCTGAAAAGAGTACAAAAGGCTAAAATTACAATAAAGTTTGTTTGCCCTCTCCCCTGTCTGGTCTTAAAAGAAAATCCCCTTTCTCAGAGTTTATTTTGTGATTTCATGCCAAAATCAAATCAATTTTGAAACCTTGAAAAGTTAAAAGCATTCTTTTTTGAAAAATGGGTCCCTTCCTGTATTTTACAAGACATTGGCAAATTTAATCAATTGTTGGAGTTGATTAAACCTGGCAAAAGTTTTCTTGTGCTAATTTGTTTATGTATATATATAGATCTGAAATTTACCACTTGAATTCATTAAAACATTCCTTAAAATATTTTACAATTGTAAATTAGATTATTGCATTGCATGCACGAGCAGGAAAATCAGATTTCAAAGGCAATTTTCATTTTTCACAGTACAATTGGTTTTAGCCCCAAAATTCTGGGAGAAAAAAAATTAAAGTAAAAAAAAATTTATTTTTTTAGGTCATATTTAATAATAATAATTAGTATACAGATACAACGGAAAAGTCCAACAGAAACTGATATTAAAGAAACTTACCCTGATCTCTATGAACCTCTGCAGCAACTGTAACAGCTGAAGATTTTGGAGGAGGAGGAGGAGGAGGAGGAGGAGGAGGAGGAGGCATGCCTTTTTCTGACCTGATAGTGTTGAGTTTTCAGAAGATTTTGTGTTGGTTCATTATTCTTACCACTTGAATAGTCTGTAAATGAAAATTATGTGTCTTTCAGATGAATGAAATTTAGTAACATAACAACTTCCAGGTATCTATTAAAATTTTGCTATAAACTGAATTGAATTTCTGTTAAAAGTAATTTTTAAACTATTTTTTATCAGTTAATGATTGAGGTCCATTGAATGCATCAACTTTGACGTAAGATTAATATGTACTATGTACATAATTTTGCATCTTGATGTGCAAGAAACCATATCAAAATTTTGTAAATAGTATGCAAAACTTGGCTGGTTTTTGGTATGCATTTTCACATTTTCACTTTCAAGTCAATATTAATAAACATCGGATGAGTTTAGGTTATATAAAAATACAAACATTGGAAAGATTGAAAGACATACAATAACTGTAATAACCAATATTAGATTTGGAAGATTTTTATATAGAAATATTGGTGTTAAAAAAAATATTCCTGTTTGAAAATCACTACCAAAGTTTTTTTTCTTAGATTTTCTTCTACCCTCAACTTCTTCTACTTGATCTTCTTCTTCATCTTCTGTTGCTGTTGTAATGTTGTGGTCTTCACATTCTTTTTTGTCGTCTACATTTAGAATAAATTAATATAAAGGTATAGCAAGTATAAATAGGTAACATAATTATGTGAAATTGTATTTAATCCTTAAAACTTTGTAAAATGTAATAATGTATACGGCTATAAAATCTGGCAGTCATGTTGCGTAAATCCGGTACATACAACAATTAGTTGGGACCTGTTCAATTTATGCATTCAAAGGTTTCAAGAAAATATTTTACTCTGTGAACAGTTTTTTGCTGGCTTCATCCACAATCTTAGATAAAATATATCAGCACTAAATATAAAATGGCCTTCATGAAGTTGAACTATAAACTTACCAGATGAGGTTTTAATTTTTACCAACTCAAACTGGTCCCAACTACAATGAGCATCTTTGGGACTCCATTTTTCCCTAATGGCCTTCAGTGCTGTAGTATATTAAACTCTTGGCCAATAAACCTTTTTCCCAAGGACCCAGCTGGAAGGGATGACCCCTTCCTCCTCCTTGTCAGATTCCTTCCAAACTGCCCTGCACCAAGTTTTACCAGCCATTATGATAAAGCTACAAAACAAAACATAAAATAATAAATGTTTTTCTACCTATGTGTACATGTTGAATGTTTATCATGCAAAACTTGTCATGCAATCAGTCAAAAACTGTTATCGGTTAATCATTTCATTGCCTTTCATTTTTCACTATTGCAATCAAAAAAATGTAAGTTCTACTTTCTGTCAAATAGTTAAAAATATCATGCAAATTTAAACATGCATGTACATTTTTACATGTGCATTTGTACATGTATACTTGCTCAGTTCTATTATTTACTTTTTCCATAATAAATTGCAATTAGATTTTCAAAGCTGAATTATTTTTTTTAATGGGTGTTCAGATGGAGTGCACTTTGTGAAAGTCTATGTGCATTATATGTATTTATATAAATAAATTGCAAGTTAAAAAAAAATAAATTGCAAGTGTAAAAAAAAATTCTAAATTCTGTACAAGGATAACAAAAATACATGTATGTAAATGTATTTGGCAATTAATCACAGATTATGTTTTTCAATTCGTTACAAAAGATGAAATTAATCATGTATGGTAGATATGTGCATTTGCCTGTCGTGGTTTTCACTTATTTTTTTTTAATGTATTGCTTTTTTAACAAAATAATGTCATGATATGTATACATGTCGATTTTATTTATAATAGTTAGTTTATCTACCTGTAGAAACACATAAAGAAATTCTTACCACATCTAAGTGGACATGTTCACCATCGTTCCATCCCATGCAGCATAGGCAGTAAAAGAGAGTGTATTTCATATGGAAGGCAAACAACTTTCTTTTGGATGTCGTCATTATCCACCAAAATTCGTCTGAATTGTCTTTGGTTATTTCTCAATACAAAAATATTCAAAATCTTTGAATTGCACGAATTTTCAAAGAAATTCTCCAAACTGTTTTGACTTATCACATCACACAGGTAGGTCTTATTTTCCCTCTTTTCCCTTACAAACACAAATGTTTTATTTTTTAACAGAAAACAACTATCTTTTTTCCTTTTAGAAATAAAAACATGGATTGTTCTGGGTTTTCCTCTGCATTTGGATTTTTTCATTTCTACGATTCTTTTTGCAACTTATGCAATTGGATTTTGAGGCTTCCTTACACTTTTTTTCAGTTTAAATAAATGATTTTCAAATTGAAATGCATTTCTTTCATTCAGTGAACTTCCAAAATGTTCAACATCATCTGCTAGATGCACCAACGAGTGAACATTGTACGACACACATGTATCACTATATTAAATGGGAGCTGTTTTAACAAAACACACCAAAAGTTCTCGAGCAAAGTCTAAATGTGCATTTCTGAAGTTGTCATCTGGTTCAAGAAGGATTGACATTGCTACTGTTAATGTCAAGAAATGATTGTATACCCTTTCAGTAACAACAGAACGCATAACCAAAGGGCCTGTATACAATTGATTGATTGTTGGTTGCTTAACGTCCAGTGGCAAATATTTCATGCATATTCAGGACGAGAACAAATTAACAATAAATACAATAGGTAGGTTCTGTAATAGGGACGTCCGGGATCAAGGTCGCAGACATTTAGACTGCCACGGGAAATGAGGGTATATTGGATATGGACAGAAATTTAGCCTTGCAACAGGTCACCTACGGACCCCTCAAAGAGTTGTTGCAAGGGTTCTTAACGTGCAAAGAGCGTGGCACTCTCTTTACACGAGGCATCGGATTTAACGTCCCCATTCTGACCGGACGTGGCTGCAAATTTGTACATCCCGCACAGCCAAACGGACGCCCCACTTTAGCAAGGGTTTTACTGCCGGTCGGAGGAAGACCAATGGTGACAATACTTCTATTCACCAGACACCCTTGGGGGTGGAAGTCATATTAGAATAAATAGTTACAGTTCCGCACCTCATTGCGTAAACTTGTATGACAAAATAAGGATAGAGTTGGTACAAATTGACCGAATGCAATAAGATAAGAAAGTCTGGTTATACATGCATGACAAATAAATGAATTGCTTGGGACCATAAATGTATTTACACTTTTGATATTAAGTTGACTTTTGATATTAAGTTGAATGTTGACTTGTTGTCTCCGAATGACCTAAATTAGAACTGTCCCATATTATGCATATAACCTTATGAGGTCAAACAACAATCACTATTTAAGGTTCCACTAAAGTCAAAATATAGGACACTTCACAAACATCTAAACTTTGCCTGTATTAATAAGAGAATTTCAAGTTTATTTACAATTTACATAGTGTGTATATGTTAAGTATGTTTAAATGAACATATGTTCCCATGGTTTAGGACTTTATTCATTATAGGTTGAAAAATACAGGCAAAGTTTAGATGTTTATGAAGTGTCCTATCTTTTGACTTTAGTGGAACCTTAATTGTGACGTCTTTTTTTTAATTGTGATGTCAAACTTTACGAGAACCTGT